AGTACTATTTTCGGTGATTCAAATACATTTGCCGTGTGCTGTATTTATAAAAGATGTTTTTCGTTCAAAATGGTCAATATAATGCAATGATTAATTATAATCTGAAATCTTTAAAATTGACATATCTTTTAATTTTAGTATTCCGGGGGAATAAAATGCATTTTTGAAAGTTCTTTTTAAGCAAAAACCAACATACCTGAAACATTTCACCTTTTACGTAGCCTAAAAAAGTTCTTTTTACTCCAAAAACTACCTGCATAAAATACAGATCAATCCTAAAGACAATGAGTGATCGATGGAAAGTTAATAACTTTTGAGTTTAGTAGTTCAGAATAAAAAATAGCAAATACGTGTTAGTTTCTTTTTTTGTTGATTTTATCAAAATGGCGGATTTAAAGGTATCTGGAAAAAATATACAAGAATATGCAATAAAAAAAATAAATAAATGCAACTCTTTAGAGCAACTGAAAAAAAGAAACACTGTCTGAAAATTAGACAAAAAAAGATGGCGTTCACATCGGCAAGATCACTGAGTAATATTGAAATGTATCATTTTTCTCCACAAATTTCACGCAAATTTAAAATCAATCATCATCAACATGATTTATTAATGAAAAATTAAAATTAAGAGACATAGGCAAAAACATGCAACGAAATAGAATATATGTGAAATCGGGTAAAAAAATATCATTTGCATTGGTAAAGTTTTAAAATCTGTGTGTGTGTCTGTGTTTTTGTATGTGTATACATTTGTGTGTGTGTACATATGTGTGTGTGTACATGTGTGTGTGTGTGTGTGTGCGTGCGTGCGTGTGTGTGTGTGTGATTTTTTTTTTTTTTTTCGTTTCTTATTTTCTTTCTTTTCTTTCATTTTCTCTCAACACTGTTTTTGTTTTTATTTAATCTCGGATTTGCCAAATTTACGTTTCCGACCCCTGACCTCCCACATTTGTGACTCTTCGGATTTTTTCTCCAACCCGCTCATAGCTTATTAGAATTCTCCCCGTTTATTAATATTTGCTTCTTTCTTTCTTTCTTTGATGGGTATTTACTTATGTTACAATGTTATCACGACATCATGAATTTTTTTTCGATGCTTTGCATTTTATTTGAAGACATTAAGGGATATTTATTGTTAGTCTTCGAGATTGTCTTGCAATCTGAAATACTTGTTTTTAGTCATTTTCCTATCACCCCATTTATTTACCCCGTCCGTTTATTTTCAATGAAATTTATTTGTATTGTGAAGTTAGCAAGATTTCATAGAAATAATTTTGTTAAATCATTTTACTTAAAGACATTGTCGAACATTTACCTTTTAGTCTTATTTCTACGTGATCTTCTTGTTTGTACAAACACTTGTTTTTGGTAATTTCCCAACCAACCCAGAAAAAAAAAAAACATTTATTAGAATTTCTCATTCTTTTCTCAAAGCCCCGTTTATTTGGCACATAACAGTAAAAATGATTTTTTTTTTTCTGAAAAGGTAAAGAAAATAATTTAAAAAGAATAACAAATAAATTTCAAACTCGCTGAAACATAAATACTGAAACATAAAAAGATTATAAAATTCACTTATAAACGACATTGTAATAACGATTTGGAGAAACTTTATATATCTTCCATACGAACGTATTTTTGTAGAAAGCTATTTTTCCCACTGAAACAGAAGACAACAAAGCTTGTGTTTCAACGTGATATGCAAACAAAAATATATATATATATATATATATATATATATATATATAATGTCCTGAAAAGGAAAAATAATATCCATTCCTGATGATGATAAGAAGAATTATTGAAAGTACCAGCATATCTAAGGAAATACGGAACATCTAATCCATTTTATATTTTTTTAAAACAAGAATCGCGTCATTCAACTCGTGGTTTGTAGGTTAATGGTTTATTAAATCTGTTAGCGAAGTGAATTCGCCATTAATTACATTAACTTTAATGATTTATTATTTGTATGACTACTTCTTTGTACACTATTTACATTATTCGAACTATTGTCCTCATCTTTGTTGGCATATTTATCACATTTCGGTCGCTGTACGCTCCGGCCTTCTTCAGGTGGTTGGAATGTCGAACTGAACCCTTTATTTCGCTCCCTGCGGTAGACTGTTCTAGTTCCACGTGCCATGACTAATGGATGACAATTATCAGTTATCTCCTGTTAATTCCCTTTTCTAAGTTCTCCACGGGCTTAACCAGGCATTGAACTTTGGATCATGTCACTGGATCTAACTAACGCCTTTATCCACTGTGCCATGTGTACTTGAGGACAGAAAGGGTTCAGTTCGACATTCCAACCACCTGAAGAAGGCCGGAGCGTACAATGGCCGAAACGTTTGTGATAAATCTGGCAACAAAGATGAGGACAATAGTCGAATAATATAAATAATCTCAGAAATATAGACAGATACGTCTTTATAATATATATATATATATATATATATATATATATATATATATATATATATATATATATGAACATAATATTTTTTTTAATGAATGTGATGGATTTTTACTAATCCGACAAATTTTTTGCGCGTTATTTTCAGTAGATATTTGAATGACGTTCCGTTTATTTAATAAACAGTATATTTGTTTATTTTCGTCAACCTGCTTGAATATTCATGAAATCGTTTTAACAGAGCGTAAAATTTTATTTAATAAGATTTCTCGAACCTTCAGTGCTTTAGGAGAAAATAAATAAATAAATATACTGTTTAATAAATAAACGGAACGTCTACTCAAATACGAGTATCCACTAAAAATAGCCTTTAAAGTGATTATATATATATATATATATATATATATATATATATATATATACAGCGCATTGTGTGCTGACTGATGTCTTTCGAAAAACGTGAAGAGACAAATAAATATTGGGAGCGTTATTAATAATCAGCCACCCATATTGAAAAATTGCCAAGCTTTAAACAGCACAGTTAATGGGTAAATAAAACAATGATGCATATATATATATATATATATATATATATATATATATATATATATATATATATATATATGCGTGTGTGCGCGTGTGTTTAAAACTGCAAAAGATATAGGCATCTCCCTTTGTAACTGACAATTTTCTTTGATGCATGTCTATCAAGATGATAATCATCAAGAATAATTGCGTTTATCACTGCAACCCATTTCTTCTTTGCTTATTCTTCGTGAAAGAAACCAAATGCAGTAAACAAGTGAAAGGAAAGAAAAATGACTTACCTGTCTCGGTGCAGCATCAACTGCATCAATTTCCAGGTAAAAATGGCTCAAATATCCAGAACGGCGTCTTTTTTTCGTTGATGTCTGCAAATAATACATATCGATGTCAATTTTTGGATGGGTTCAACAACAGAATACGAATTTCGCCATGTCATTACTTGCTAACCGACATATCTGTTAATATATCTTAGAATATGTTGAAAGCATTGGCTCCACTGTCAATATCTGCGAGAACAAATAAACGTAGAAATACCAAGTTATTAAATACTTGTTTAAAGCCGTAAAAATTTCACGGTTTTCCTATTTGAAATTTCTGATTAATCTATATTCTTCAGTTAATGATTGAATAAGTTCATGGCGTGTTCTAAGACAATAAAATATTCGTAGAAATTCTCCTATCGCATCGTTAAACATTTGAGCTTAACAACTTTAACAAAATATTGCAATAACAATCATAAATATGAATGCTGGTCGTTATTTTAAGAAGTGGGTACAAATGAAAAGATTCGAAATCGAAACCTTTTTACATTTCATTGCAACAGTCGCTAAACACTTCTTTCTTTCTTTCGTTCTTTCTCTCTTTTTCTTATTGAAACCAAGTAGCGTATGCCCTTTGTTTTCCTACGTAATCAAAATCGAATAGTCAATTATTTATGATTTATTGGCGGGAAGCGTTAAACTTACTTTCTTTCTTTCTTTCTTTCTTTCTTTCTTTCTTTCTTTCTTTCTTTCTTTCCTTCCTTCCAAATCCCCGTCTTACGAACATTTCTCTTAATAATAATTTGAAATTAATTCAGCAGACGATGTTATTTAATTTATGCTAACTAGAGTTTTGGCGCTTGTCTTGCTCGGTTTCCGTCGTTCAATTCGTACTGCAGCTACAATAGAAGTGTTGTTTCTTAGGCAAGATAGACTGAAGATTTTTCAATTCAGAGTTACCTTCTCCAAGTCTGTCCTGCTATAGAAGAAAAGAAATCATACTTTCCCAAGGATATTAGAACGTAAGTAGGTAATGGATCCGACAAGAATTCGAATTTGGCTCTCTGATTCCTCAATCCAAGTTGCTATCCATTACTCCGCCATGTCTACTGAAGAATACTCGTTAAAAGATGCCACTATCTTTTTTTTTTAAAGTTTTCCATTTACGTCGCGGTATTTCTTGGCGTCCTTGATATTTTGGCAACCTGCTCTTACTTTTGCAATATGAGTTTCTTGCAAGTCCTGTTCTCTTTTAAGAGCATAAGAATTTCCATATTGTGGGATGATGGGATGACACTTGCTGCAAAAAGGCCCTATGCCATCCTTCAAGGGCGTTATTAGTTCGAGGTAAATCAGACTCTCTCAAAGCAAGACCATATACGTATTTCAAACATAGGTATTTCGAACAATTATCATTTAGTATAATTGTCCTTTCGGTTAATTTTTATTCAAACAATTAACAATTCGAATAAATGTTTTTCGAATAAGTGTTTTTGAACAATTTTCTCAATACAGTAGAGTTTAATATAAAGCAAGAAATCACGTTAGTGAAAACAAGCTACACGGTTACAATATCAAAACTTTGAACGAGAAAACAAAGTAGAAAGCATTTTATAAAAAGTAAGTTACCACTACAGTGGAAAATAAACGAACACGCAATTTTACGACTCACTCCTCACCCAACTCCAGGCTAGGGTCTCGTGAAATCAATGTTTTCTGTTAGCATACGTATCGAGATTTTATCCGTCGCCGGATTGCTATGGCTTGCCGCGAAGCTTACATCACCTGGTATTCCCCAGGGGTTATCCATCATAATGCTGATCAGACTCAACGTTGCTTAACTTAGGCTATCGGATGACAGCCGGTGTTTCAAGGTGATATAGCCGTAAGCTAAAGACACAAACCCTACTCTTTTTCTCTCTGTCTTTACTCTTTTTCAACCACAGGATGCTATAGTGACAAGATGCGGTTCGTTTCCGCCACCCCGGGGGAGTCTTCTTAGTCCCCATGCGAACTGACTTTTTAGTTTCAACCGAACCACGTGGTAAACAGCACACAGTACGCTACGATATCTCAACAACAATCTATCAAACCCATTCGAAACAGGGTATGTCTCGTAGGGCACTCGGTAAGAATTGAAGCCATTTGAAATAAAGGCCCAGTTAGTAAGGAAATTAGTAAAAAATGAGCCCATTTGAAACATAGGGTACCCAATGAAGACTGAACCCATGTGAAACAAGGCCTGGTTCGTAGGACACCCAGTAAGGATTGAACCCATTTACAAGAGTGGACAAGTTTAGTTAGCAGACCATTACCCAGCCGCCCCAGAATGCAAAATCCCGAAATTCTGCCGTGTGTAGTGTGCATTTCTAACCACCTAGCTTTCAAAAGATGTTTTCCTTGTTATTCCAATGTCACATCAAACGGGATTCTCTGGTAAAACACGTAGCAAAGTAAAACCTCTTACTTGATAAACAACCAATTGCGGGGGAGGTCAGACCTCACACAAAAGTTCACCTTTAATAATTTTTAGAATCAACCGGAAACCCGCTAAGGAAATAGTTTTTTTTTTCTCCATCGAACAAGTCTCTTTGGGTTTTTGTTTTATTTAAACAATTCGGTTTCGTTATAAAAATGGAGTGGGGTTCAGGTATTGCAATTAAAGAAAGGACAAAACCGGATTTACGAGAAAGGGAAACTTTGTGGATAGATAAATGAATAATAATAATAATAATAATAATAATAATAATAATAATGAGAACATGAATCCCTTTGATAGAGTAAACAGATCACGTATTTTTCGGAAATAAGCTGAAAGTGTTTAATCTAAAGCCATGCGTGGTGGAAGTCTGTCTTACAGTCATGGCGTAAGAGACAGTCTTGAGCACACACGCCCCAGTAAACAGCAACAAAAACACAAAAAAAACTGAAAATGTAATTCTACACTTCAGAAGTAATATATTTTTTCTCACTTGCGAATCCAGCATACTTCGGGAAATTTGGAATTAATAGATAATTATAAATATAATGTTTCAAATGGGTTCAGTAATTACTAGCTTCCCTACGAACCGGGTCTTATTTCAAATGGGTTCAGTCCCTACTGGAAGCCCTACGAGCCGGACTTTATTTAAAATGGGTTCAGTCCCTACTGGAAGTCCTACGAGCCGGGTCTTATTTCAAATGGGTTCAGTCCCTACTGGAAGCCCTACGAGCCGGGCTTTATTTCAAAGGGTTTCAGTCCCTACTGGAAGCCCTACGAACCGGGCTTTATTTAAAACGGATTCAGTCCCTACTAGAAGCCCTACGATCCAGGCCTTATTTCAAATGGTTTCAATCCCTACTGTAAGCCCTACGAGCTGGGCTTCATTTGAAATGGGTTCAATCTTTACTGGAAAACCTACGACTCGTACGACTCATACAGCAATCGCTATCACTTGACGTAAAATATGTTTGCCCTTCCTTGCCTTTAAAGGAGTGCCCTTTGCCGTGCTGATGTTGCTACATGCCTTACTTCTCGCCTATCTCACACTGCGAATTTTTTCAAAGCTCTATACTAAACATTAAATCAGTTACGAAAAAAGAACTAAACAAAATGAACACAAAACGATCAGCTTTAAAAAAGGACTCATAACTGGAAAAACCGAATGAAAAAAGAATGTTAATAACAAATATTTTTTCACACCCAACCCAGAATCAGAATCAACGTTGAGTTTAAGCAAGCGAATGAGCCAATTGGAGTAAAGTGCCATGCAGATTTAAATTTTCCCCACTTGTAACGAATGCAGCTATCGATTTTTTTTTGCATGCTAGCATGCTAGTTAACATTCGTGTCAGTCAGCTGTTGGCTCTCACGCTGGCCAATAGAATCTTCCTGCCTATTCGTGGCAGCCAGCTATAGGCTCTCACTCTGGTCAGTGCGAAATAGCCGCAAACTACATGAAAACTGCCGTAGAAGCATAAAAAATCGATTATTTCCACTATTGATGGGAGTTGGGAAATGCAAAGTCGGTCTTGGCCTTTCCGCTAACTTGGAGCATGTGCATGTAAATTTTGGTGCAAATCCGTCGAAAATTGCGGCCGTGCATTCGTTACTGATGTGGGTGCCAAAGTTGGGACCACAGAAGGAAAACACGGAATACAGATTAGATGTAAGAAAGATATATTAACAACAGGTTACAGAGATAGAAAAATGACCAACAATAGATTTTATCATTAGCTGGCGGCATGCAATTTCGTTCAAAATATATTTATTTGAAGCCATAAAATTGTGATCAAAATATTTTGATTTCAGCATTAAATAATCCATAGAGATTAATATGCCGCTAAACAAAATCAACCAACAACCATATTAGTACATATATAAAGGGTCTTCCAATAACTTGGACCAATTTTAAATGTGAATTAAGTTTAAGCGTCTAATGATTTTTTTTCTTTTTCTTTCAGATTTGGTGGGGATTTGGGCAATATTATTTTTCACACATAATTGCCATGACTTAAATAACATTCCAACCACCTGAAGAAGGCCGGAGCGTACAACGGCCGAAACGTTATAATAAATTTGACGACAAAGATGAGGACAATAGTCCGAATAATGTAAATAGTGTACATAATACCTCATCTCAGAAATATAGACAGAAACAGAAATATGGTTCTGCAGAAGGATGCTGAGGATAACATGGACCGAACATGTGAGCAACGACGAAATTTTGGAGAAAATGGAAACGAAAAGGAAACTAATACTTAATATCAGGAAGTGGAAGTTGAGGATTCTCGGGCACATAATGAGGAAGGAGGGCTTGGAAAATCTGATACTCACAGGACAGATCGAAGGCAAGAGGAACAGAGGTAAACAGCGCATAACATACTTAGTGAATTGATAGCGGAACAGGGCTTAGGAGAAATAGCAGATAGACAAAGTTTATTAAGAACTTCAAGTGACAGGAAGTTGTGGAGAGCCATGATCGCTTAGGTCCTCAGAGGACACGGCACATAAAGATGAAGAAAAATGAGTCATAGGGGTTAAATAGCTGTACAGTCTGTGTTCTATAGCTTTGGTTGGCAACCATTCTACCGCAGAAAGTAACGACAGCCTTCTGCGGGAATACTTTTGCACAGTAAGGAAGTTATGGAGAGCCATGATCGCCTACGTGCTCAATAGACACGACACATAAGGAAGATGGTAAATGAGTCATAGGGGTTAAATAGCAGGACAGACTAGGTCCTATAGCCTTGGTTGGCCACCAGTCTACTACAGAAAACAGATGCCTCCAGCGGGAATTCTTTTGCTGAGTTAGTCAGGAAGTTGCGGAGAGCAATGATCGCCTATGTTCTCAGAGGATACGGCACATAAAGCAGATGAAGAATGAGTTATATGGGTTAAATAGTAGGAGAGACTGGGTCCTATAGCCTTGGTTGGCAACCAGTCTACCGTAGAAATTAACGACTGCCTTCTGCAGAAATTCGTTTGCAGAGTCAATAAGGAAGTTGCGGAGAGCCATAATCGTTTTCAGAGGACACAGAACATAAAAAAGAAGACTGGTTTTCAACTCAAGGCAAGAGAACCCAGTCTCTTGATATTTAAACCATAGATATGTCCATGCTTTTATTAGCGCATACTTTAGGGTAGTATACTATACAGTACGCCATGACGTGTACCCAGTCCATTATCCGCGCCTCCGCGACAAGTTTAGGTTTTATATTTTCAATTTTATCATTTTTCCTGCCATTTATTGAAGTTTATTTACTTTTCTTTGCGTACTTTAGACTCATTTAACCTATTTTATTTCATTTTGTTTCTCCGTTATATTCTCAGGTACTTTGATGTTTTTTAATCGGAGATAATAAAACAATCCAGTTTTGTTCCGATGTCTTTACGCGGCTTTGAATCTCTTTTAATTATCAGAACAGATGCTTCGGGTCTTCACTCAGCGGCATTTGCTCACCACCCACATTCTCACAGACAGAGAGAGGGAGAGGGAGAGAGATAGAGAGTGGGGTGGCTAGAGAATGCCTCATCTTCCAACTATGTGAAAAGGCACCAGTCCAGTGACATATTAACTCGTTCATACACACACACACACACACACACACACACACACACACACACACGCATACACAATGAGAGAGACGGACAATCAAATGTGTCACATATACACGGAAACGACAAGCAAACACACACATAACAGTAAATGCATCACATAAATGTACACATACGCAGAGGCGACTAGGGAAATATACGCCCTTGCGCACGCGCGTCCATACACGCACACATAAGAAACTGTATCACGTATGCTCACATGGGGAGACTAACGAAACACACACACACACACACACACACACGCACACACACACACACACACACCTCGACGTTGTGTAATGGTTAACAAGCTTGTCCCGATAGATCAATTACGACAGAATAGTGAGTTCGATCCTCACCGGCCTTGTGCCACATCTAAACTATGCTTGGAAAAGCACCATACACACACAGACCAGCAAATATCTAATATACGTTGACGACTAGTAAAATACACACACACACACACACACACACACAAGCACTGACACAAACAGACAGATAAATAAATGTCACATGCACAGACATGAAGACTACTATTCAAACACGCACACAAAACCAGCAAATGTATCACACACACACACACACACACACACACACACACACACACACACACACACACACACACACACACACACACACACACACACACGGAGGAGGAGACTAACAAAATACATGAACGCGCACATAAAGGAAGAGCAGCAAATGTGTCATACACGAACACATACACACATACCTATGTGACGAGTACATATAAACACTTGCACACGCACAAGAAAATGTGTCGCGTACGTACACGTGGAGATGACTGGTGAA